CCCTGGTCAAAGGTGTAGGTGACCAAACCCCTGATCACAGCCAACCTGTCCCTCACCGAGAAGTACGGGCGCAGACAGGCCACCTCCTCTTGTGGGGGTGCCAGTTGCCCGCCAGCACCCTCAACACTAGAATCTGGTATACTGGGTCGTCCGCAGCCACTTTACACACGGTGTCTTCGTCCATAGTGATGCACCCATCCTGATCCAGTGCTGCGATTGTGACTGCACACACTGCAGCGCACAGGTCCTCCTCTTGGTCCATGTCCTCCGTGTCAGGCACCGCCTTGAGGGAGGGTAAGCGGGATAGGGAGTCAGCTGCACAGTTACGCTTCCCTGGCAAGTACTTGACCGTGAACCGGAGCTGCAGGGTCTTCTCCTTGAGCCTGAACAGGCGCGGATTCGCCACATCCGTGAGGGCTCTGTCCCCTAGCAAGCCAACTAAGGGGCGGCGGTTCGTCACCAGAATGAGGTTCGGGCAGCCAAGGAGGAACAGCCTGGCCTTGTGCAGGCACCATACCACCGCCAGGGCCTCCCCTTCTACTGCAGCGTAGCCGGCCTCGGCCTTGCTCAGATGTCGGCTACCGCAAATAGCCAACCGCCACCCTCCCCTGCAGCAGAAGGGCGTCTCTGGAGAGGCACATGCACAGTATTGTTGCAGGACGACAAAGCCGATGCCCTCCCTGCTCCAATCAGTGACAGCTGCCATTGGCCTGGATTTGTTGTAGTACACCAAGCCGTCCCTGGCCAACTGACAGATGGTGTCCTGGGCCTTGCGAAACTTGAGCTGCAGCTGGTCGTCCCAATACACCCGCTTGCCCACTGGCTTCTTGAGGAGCTCAAGGAAGGGCTCCATCACAGGTGCAGTGGCAAGGAAGGGAGCCAACTGGTTAACCAGGCCATGCCAGGAACTGATGTCAGTGATTGATGGCTGATCAGGCATGGGGACGTCCTTGATGGTTGACAGACATTGGGCAGTGGGCTGGTAGAGGTCCCACCCCAGGAGGAAACCCACAAACTCGGCTTCTCTCCTGCAGAACAAGAACTTTTCTTATTTCATTGTGATACCTGTGCGAGCGCAGGTCTCCAGAAAATCATAGTTGTGCCAGAACGCCCCCTTCACACTGGAGTCTTGGAGAGTGTCATCCACGCACTTGTACTTGCGGGACACATCCTGAATAGCATCGTCAAACCTCTTGGTGTAGGCATCTGACGCTGAACAATGTCCCATGGGCTTCCTGCAGTATTGAAAACGGCCCCACGGCATGATTAATGTGGTCAGGCGTCTACTCTCCTCCTCCAACTCCACCTGATGAAATCCCCAGAAGGCGTCGGCAATGGTTTTGAATGAGTGCACTGGCACCCCAGACACCATGTCAAATGGTGCAGGTGTGTGGTGCGTCTCCCTCAGACAGCTTGCATTGAAGCGTTGGAAGTCTACATTGCGCCGGGCTGACCGTTTTTCTTGGCCACCACGACCATCCTGGCGCATTACTCCGTAGCCTCACCGGCAGGCACTGGCTGCATGACGCCTCTCCTGACGTCCTCCTCCAACTGGGCCTTCACCTCCGCTTCCCAGTGTTTCGGAACGGAAGCAGGTGTGTGACAGGCGTAGGGGGTCGTGCCGGGCGTCAGGTGGATCCGGTGAGGAGGACCAGTCATGACTGGCAGTGGGGACCTGCTGGTGTTGAATGTGGTGGATGAAAAGTGAGTAAGCAGCCATGCCTCCAACCTGGCCACATTCTCCTCCAAAGGAGGCAAGGGCATCTCAACTGGCCTAGGAGGACACGACTGCTCTCAGGTCCAGGGTTCGGAGGTAGGTCGCCGGCAGTGTGCTGCCCCCCCTCCCCTCCATCACCCACGGCAGCCACAGCACGCCTATGGAGTGGGAAGTCGACAGGCACCAAGTTGAGGCACTTGCAAGCCTCCAGTGATAGGTAGAAGGAATTGGCTGTCTGCACGAAGTAGACCTCCTGGACGGTGGACCCCTCGCCCACACTGAGGCGGCAGGGGGCGGACCCCAGACACTTGAGCTGTTTGTTCGCCACGTCCCTCAGGCCATTACGGGCCCAAAGTTGCCCCGGACACAAACCGATGTCCTGGAGCAGGGGGGATGGCCCTGCCACACACACACCAAAGCACCCGTGTCAGCCACAGCCAGCACAGGGGTGGCGGGGGAATTACCCCCAGCCTGGGTCACGAACACTTGTAACCTGGGGTGGCGGGACAGCTGGGCTGTTGCCACTGTGACAGTACCTGACACATCCACAGAAGCGCTTAGGGCTGTCTTATTCCTACAACACCTTTTGAAGTGACCAACCTTAGAGCAATTGCGACATGTGGCCCCACTAGCAGGGTAGTTGCTTTTGTCCGAGGCATGTGTCATGCTGCAGTTCCCACAGTGCGCGCGACTGGGGTGTCCAGGTCGTGCGGCAGCTACCTCAGTCTCACCCGTGACATCATCACCAACCGCCGCTGCCTCCGTGGCTGTTCCCGCCACTGCCTGGCCAGACGTACGACACAATACACCAGCATCTCTCACTGCTGCCTCAAATAACATACACTTGTTTCTTAGCACTTCAACACTATTATAACTCGAGTACCCATGAAAAATTTCCATTTTCAACACTGGGTTACTCAGGCCCACCATAACTTTACGTAATAGAATGTACTCAGAGAGGTCGTTATCACAGGTGGGACATCATTAAATTCACACTCCACTGCCTCTGCAAAGCATCGTTGAAAGACCTTTTCATGGGCTTCTCTTCACCTTGTTTGCTGTTGAAAAACTCATTCCATTTCACAGCTTGGTTTGACGATTGAAGAACCACTCCACTGACCGCTGGGATATCTTGAGTCAATCACCCTTTCGAGTGCAGGGACGCAGTTCAGGCGAATGTGGAGTGTGGCCACCAGTTGTGACCATTCGTTCAACATCACCCACGACTCCATGGACCACCTCCATGTCCTAAACGCCGCTGCTGGCATTTCTGCCTCACACTTCTCTGGAGTGACCGCTGCTGAGGGCTTCATGACCGGCATAGAAGCATGACTGTGGCCACCAGTAGCTAGAGATGCCATCTGAGCCATCAATGCACTCAAGGCCTGCTGCTGGGCGCGCGTGGTGTTCCCCACCGGTGTAGAGATGCCCTGGCATCCCCTTGAGGGCATCGAGATTCGTGGACGTGTAGGGGCCATGTTGGCGTCCTCGTCAAGGCTGTTATGGCGTGTCGGGCCCTGGCATCCTACTCACTGCGCCATGTGAGAGGTTTGAATAATAGACCAGGTTCTTTGTAGACTTTACTCTTGCAGCGTCAGACAGTGACTGGCAACCCAGCGCTGCCACAGACAAACTCCCGCTTCCCCACATGGGAAAACATATCGTACGATGGTACTCCATCTCACAATCTCACAAACAGTATACAATCAGTCCCCGACTTACGACGGGGTTAGGAACTAACGACCAGGTCGTAAGTCGAAAATGCAAAAAAATACATAGAAAATCTAAAATGGGTGTCTCCTTTTCTTCTCAGCACTACAAGAACTCACTTTTACATTTGCCAGCCATTTTAAAGGGAATTACAAACGAAAATTTTGTCAGTACACAGCGCGATCACTAATGTCGGACTCTAAAATACGTACAGTAATTTGAAAAAAAAATTGTACGACTACAGCGGTCGTATGTCCAGGTGGTCGTATGTCGAGTAGGTCGTAAGTCGAGGAGTACCTGTACTGTATTTTCCAACAATACACAACAAAAAACTAACTGACCAACTGACTGACAGGCTATTAAGCTGATAAGTATAAGTAAATTTAGAATATCATTCAATAACATACATAGTAACATAATCCCATGCATTTATATAAAGCACGTTACACATACTGTACTGTAGTACATGACAAATCCATACAGAACCGACATAATACATAAACTGACTAATAACCAACACTTGCCTATTCACCACACACACACACACACACACACACACTATAACATTATACAGGCATCCCCCGCGTTACGGAAGGGTTCCGTTCCCCGAAAATTGACCGTATCGCAAAATCTATTTTCCCATTGACTTCCATTATGAAACTGGAGATGCATTCCTAAGGAATTTTTTCGGCCCCAAAAATGTAATTCAAGCACTTTTATTAATGAAAATAAACATTTATAAACACATACAATACAGTACATTAAATAATTTATGATATATCTTCTTAAAACACCAATTTAGGGGTTAATATTGCATAATATTGCATTATACAGCTGTGTATGTTTATTTGAGTGCCCCGTCATAGGGGTCCGTTTTCTCTCACTTCAGCACTCCTGAGTCGTCCGTTTTCTCTTAATCTTAAGAGTGCACCAGAGACTATTAGTTTTTAGTAGTGACACAGAATTTGATATTGCAACTGGGGTTGCAATTGTTGAGGCAACTTAGGTATGTCTGATTACAGTTGGAATATTCAAGATCCATTGTGAGTGATGTTTAAAGCTTCAACTGTCTTTATGGTTGGTAAAACTTGTCAAGTCTGTCAGTCTGAATGGCATGTGTGAGGCCTTGTGTCTGTACAAATTTACCCCGATTTCCGTAAGGGCGGATTTATGGGCCGCAACGCGAAATTATTGGTCATAATTTACAAATTCCGTAAGAGTGAAATTCCGTTACCCGGGCTTCCGTAACGTGGGGGATGCCTGTATTCCCACACGCATAACACTAACATATATTCACTACAATCCATGCCATTACCATTCATTCTATACACACACACCAACAGTATACAATATTACAACATACTGTACTGAACTTACAACTCACCTGAGGTATTATTAAAACCCCTAATCATACTTTCTACATTAAACTGTGCACATTTTCCATAAGAAGATACCATTGCTTTTTAACTTCTGAATATTGTTAGAGCAAAAAAACCCATTGAACAACATTCTCCAGTCATGAACAAGTAAATCGCCCACTTTTACATCAGGAACTAACAGTAAACATTCTCACCGTGGATTATTGATATCCTGTATGGCGAAGGTAAGTTGATTACTGGGTATCACGTTAGCGGGGTTGTCCTCGTCGGGACATAAGCTGCCCTGAGGACACGGCACACGGCGCATGAAGTCCTCACGCCCCGAGTCATGGCACTGGACGTCATATGCTTCCTTTTCAACATCCTGTAAAAAAAAAATAATAACTGTTTTATTACACTGGAAGGGAACACCACAGCAGAGTACTTGCTACAGCAACTCAGCAGAATGACTTAAAATAAATGAAGTGATATCCATATTATGTTCTTGATTATGGACACCCAGCACCATGCAAGTGCAAGAAGGATTGATAGTGAAAATAAAAATAAACTTGTAACTGAGTTAACACGGATGCCCTTTCAGAACAGTTTATTTATCAAGGGATCATCACTGCCTTCAAAATCATCGAACCATAATACCCAGACAATATGTGCTTCTGAACAATCACAAACAAAGTCCTGTTGCCTCTCCTGCTGCTCCACGAACCCTGAGATCCAAACTTGTGAATTCGGAACGTCTGTGGACAGAATTATGCACTAGTGTCTACTGCTTCGAATTCACAAATGTTTGAATGTCGGGGTTCGTGGAGCAGCAGGAGAGGTGACAGGACTTTTGTTTGTGACCGGTATTTTTTGTAGATCAATGAGAACTGTGATACCGTATATGATATGATAAGTTAGTCTGTGCTAAGAACTTCAACATAGACTACTGAAAGCAGGTTGTAAGGTAATTTAGCCTATTGTAAGTTGGTGAGCTTCATTTGCTGAAGGAACTGCACAACTTTTCATTACTAATTGGTACATATTTTACGTTTCCATTGTTTACTGGCAGTAAATGGTAAATATTTTTCATGTCTGAAGCTAAAAGTTGCTCCTCGCCCTTCCCATCATGCACGGGTTTAACCTAACACAACTATTACGCATGTATAGGACGACCCCCAATTTTTTGCCTAAAAATATGGTCTTAAAAACTCGAACTATATATATATATACAGTGACCCCTCGGTTAACGAACTCAATCCGTTCCAGAAGGTCGTTCGTTAACCGAAAGTTCGTTAACCGAAACCATTGTTTCAATGGGTTTTTGGGTAATTGGTTCCAGCTCACCGAAAATTTCCTAAATTCAACAAAAATGGTAGAAAAGTTCACTTACTTTTAGGTGTGTATGTAGAAGGCTCCTGGATGATGATGATGGGATTTAGAATGGGGGTGGAGGAGAAGGAAGAAGAGAAGGCATTGGGGTGGAAGAGAAGTCACCCCATGGCGCCATTTCACCCATAAAATTTGAGCTCTCTTGTGTAATTCAAGATTATTTTTTTAAATCAACACTGCACTGCATTATATATTGTCAATATGTAAAATATATTTCAAAATGACCAATAATTTGCTTGGAAACACAGAAAGCTGCTTATTGAAGAGAGTCTCTAAGCAAGATGTTACCTCCAGGAAAAAACAGAGAGAGACTAACGCTTCGTTTGCTGTGTTAAGAGGCTGGATGCCGCGCATTAAACTAGTCACTTTACCTTCAATTATGTTCAATAATTGTTAAAATGATTAAAAAATTGAATATTAAACTTTTAAAATTATTGAATAGTATAAACTTCTTGATATTTACTAAAATAGTAAGGAATTTAAGCCCTAGAACCGATTAATGTATTGGCGGACTGATACTAAAGCTGGTTGCCTGGTCAGTGCAAGCAAAAACATGTTGAGGCTTGCTCGTGAAGGCTCACATCCTAAGGAAGGCAAGCACTGGCCCGGGCAACGTATATATATATATATATATATATATATATATATATATATATATATATATATATATATATATATATATATATATATATATATATATATATATATATATATATATACATATATATATACATACATACATACACACACATATATATATATATATATATATATATATATATATATATATATATATATATATATATATATATATATATATATATATATATATATATATATATATATATATATATATATATATATATATATATATATATATATATATATATATATATATATATATATATATTGGTCCCTCGGTTAACGAATGGCACGGTTAACGAATTACCTTCCATAAGAATCTTCAATTCGGTTCGAACAAAAATTTGATTAACGAAATCCTTATGAAAATGACGTTTTGTTGTGAGCATCAGCTGATGGGCGAGTCTGCCAATTCAGTAATCTGTTCTATGTTTACATTCGTTTAAAATGGAGTAAATATCAATAAAGTTATGCTCTTTAGTATTTTTGCATGTTTTATATTAAAATTATTAGTCATTTTAAAATTTATTTAACATACTGATAATATATGCAGTACAGGGAACTAGTTTGTTGTGCGCCCATCAGATGCGTGAGTAGGTCACAAGGCATCAGTTTGGCTTTGAAAACAGTGGAGAGAGCATCTATTTTGTTGGTGCTTACCAGTCTTCACTGTGTACTGTGGGAGATATGCATCCGAGTGAGGAGTTCGGTACACCCTCCCTCCACCACTGCCAGTCACAAAAAACGTAGCCTCGTCAGACCACAAAACAATCCTCCACTGCCAGTCACAAAAAACGTAGCCTCGTCAGACCACAAAACAATCCTCCATGACTCTAAACCCCACACTGCATATTTCTTGCAAAATTTCACCCTATTTTTTTTGTCTCTTCGTCAGTAGAGGTTTACAACGGTGCACGGAAGCTCTTAAATCCAAGGGCATCATGTAAGGATTGCCGAACACAGCGCAAGGGGACGTGGCTGAGAAGACGGGGGTTTCTCTCTTTCACTTCGCGTGCTGCGAGGGCGGGATTGGACTTAACTTGGCGTGAAATAACCTCAAGTGTCCGTGGAGACAATAATTTAGGCCTACCAGACTTGGGTAGGGGAGCTGGCAACATGTCCTCTCCAAGCTCACGGTAACGCTTTACAAGTTTCTGCACAACACACAACCTCACACCAGTCTGTGCAGAAATATCCCCAGTTCATGGTTTGCTTTGTTTAACAAAATAAAAGTTAATTTACATTTGTTGTATACTAGCATCATATTAAAAGCATTCTTGGTGGTGTTTGCTAAATGTTTGATGGTGCGGTATAACACAGTATATTTAGTGGCATAAAATAAACAAGCATTAATAAAGGAGTGCGTGTTGACGTTTTAACAAAGATCCAATAGCTAATGAGGGAGACCCACCTCACTCCGTGGGACCAGCACTATCTGGTTACGCCTCATTTTGACTGTATTAAAAAGCATACTGGTACACATTCACCCATATTCTTGACACAAAGAAAATTTTTGTAAAAGGCACACTATGAGAGTGCATGTGAATGTATAAACACGATCCGTTTACTCTCAGAATTCTCATTAGATATGACAAACTTTTCCATAAATTACTGGACACATTTAAACATAATCAGCACACTGAGGTGTCATCTTAAAAAAAAAATACAAAATTTCCCTATAAAAGAAATGCAGCCTTTTCTATAACAAAATCTTCTATGTTTTACAAAATACCCCCAGTAGATAAACAAGAACTACTAAGCATACAAAGATGCTCACACAACAATTCACACCAACATAAACATTAATAACCACTGCACAAGGTTGGTACTGGGGGGCATAAGATTATGTGAAGTACATGTACTGTACAATATAGTGACATTCTTTTATATTAGAAAAAAGTTTGGAAGGCCAAAATGGGCAGAGGAAGTTCACCACCAAAACTATCTTCCCTATATTGCCAACAAGCTGCTAAGTATTCATTGAAAATGTCAAGAAGGCTCATCAGCAGGTTGTTCTGTGGCATTCTCTACAAGAAGCCACTCTCCCATGACTTAATCCAGAAGAATATCGGTGGAAAAAGAACAATATCATGAAAATGCTTGAGCCAGTGTCTCTACCAGGAGCTGTGAAATTTGCCCCAGAGGAACTCCTGCATCTGATACAGGGTGGCTACCAGAGTGCCACTCTCTGTAGCACACATGCATGTAGCTGCAATGCTGCAAACTTAAAATATACAATATTTGTGACTGTTACAACAATTGGCTGCTGTAATTCGTATTACCATACATAGTAAATACAGTATATTTTCTATCCATAGTTTGAAATTTACTGTTGAAGTTGTCTCAGTGAAGTACAGTCGGCCCTTAACATACGCGGGGGTTACGTAACAGAGATATCCGTGGATGTTAAAAATCCGCGTATATGTACTGCCCCCCCCCCAAAAAACCCCTGGCCCCCCATGTCCTTATTTACCGTATATACCTGTGTGTAGTTCGAGTTTTTAAGACCAAATTATTTTGCAAAAAATTGGGGGTCGACCTCTAAAAGGGTAATAGTTTCGTTAGGTTGAAAAATATTTACCAGTAACTACCAGTAAACAATGGAAACGACGCACCAACGCACCACCAGCTGTGAGTGTCGGTACAGTCGCCAGGGCAGATCTCTTGCGTCATCATAGCAAGCCCAAAGTAGCCAAATCCATGGTATGGTATACACAGGACGATGTAAAACAAAGTATTCATTTGTTAAAGTTTATTTATAGATACTGTACATAAATTTTTGTTCATTACATTTGAAACATCAATCTTTGTTAATTAAATTTGATACAAAAGAAAACTACGATACCGTATTTTCATTAAAATATTACATCACAAGTATATTTTACCTTAACTGTGACTGAATGAATATATTCTCAGAAATAAATATGGAAATGTAATATTTTGGTTGAAATGACGTACATATTATTGTACAGTGGAAAGTGGGATAAAATTATGAAAACAATGACTTTTGCTTTCTTTCGTTGTTCAAAAGATTTTACCGTAATCGCTTTTCGAATGGTTTTCAGTTAAAAAACTGTTGTAATGTACTCATACTGTATTACAATAATATTCTATCCTATCATTAGCCTTATAATCCCACAACTGAAAACCATTCGAAAAGCGATTACGGCAACATCTTTTGAACGAAAGAAAGAGAGAGAGTCATTGCTTTCGTCACAATTTTATCCCACGTTCCACTGTAATACGTACATCATTTCAGCAAAAATATTACATTCTATGTTCTCAGAAATAAATGGTAGTTTTGTTGAAACGTAATGTACAGTATTTAATATTAAAATGCAAAAATAGCTATAA